TGTGTGTGTTTATAAAAAACCAAGCTATTTTCATAATTTAAAATCTAAATCACTCTCACTAATCATTAATTAATTTATGATTTACCATCCCTAGACACTCCCACCAATCATTAATTAAATTATGATTTAAAATCTTTCCAAACAACTTAATTTCACATATCTAAATCCACATTCTTTTTTTCAGATATCAAAATCTATTTCATATTTTAAATCCAAACCTTACCAAACATACCCTAAATAAAATTAAAGTACATCAAATATGCGTGCAGTGAGATTGGGGGGAGCAGAGGGAATAATACTCATTGTACGTTAAAGTATTTGTTCAGTTTTGATCGACTCTTTACATAAAATTAAATAAAAATTACATGCTATATTAACCGATAAAATAATCTTTTGATAATATTTTATATGATAAATCTAATAAAATTATTCTTATATCAACATTCAATATAAGTTTCATTTAATTAATGATCAAAATTAGACAAACACTCTAAAAAAGGAAAATTGAGGAATCTTAAAAAAAAAAAAAACCAGGCTATTTTTTCATTCATTCTGTTTTTTTCCTGCCTTTTGATATTTTTGCTACCAAATTTGTTACGCTGCCAGAAAACATTCATTACGGAGGCGCACATAAAAAGCCAAACCAAAAGCTGAACCCCGTGGCAACTCTCCGCAGCGCCTCCAAAACCACTAGCCACCGTGCGATGCGGAACTGCGATTGAGCGCCGCCAATCCATCCGCCGCACTGCGCGCGATTTTCCCCGTCGGAGATTTTGCCGTTTGCACCCCCCTCTCAATCTCTCTCTCTCGTGAGTCGTGACACCGTAACAGTTGGAAGGGAAATGTGAACTGGAGCCTGCGATTGGATTGGGTTTTTGCGTACTCTTCAGATCTCTCCGGCGGCATTTCTAGATCTAGGGTTTTGGAGTCTCTCCTCCCTCCTCCTCCGCCGCCGCCGCCGCCTTCCTCTATCTTCAATGGCCACGCCGTATTCCTTGCCCGTCACTGCTGCACAAGTGCGCTCCCTTTCCGCTGTCTCTCTATGGCTTTTCATGTTAAATTTTGTCTTTTAAGTATCCATTTATCACCATATGACTGCAGGGAGATTGGATGGAACATGTATGCATAGCCAATTTGTATCTTAATATGCGATTAGTATTTGATAGTCAGTGTGTAGCAGATATGTTTTTCCCACATTCTTTTTGTGGAAATGAAGATGCTATAATGCATTGGAGCTTTTTCTTTATTCTTATTGGCTAGGCGGAGTGATTTGTTATATATACATGATTATCAAGTAGTGTTATTGTATGTCAGGTTGGTTCATACTTCGTTGGACAGTACTATCAGATTCTACAACAGCAGCCAGAATTTGTTCACCAGCTCTACAGTAATGCCAGCACTATGATTAGGATCGATGGCAATGCCAAGGAGGCTGCTTCTGGGATGCCTGTAATGCATCTAACCCTTCTATTATTTTTCATCTTTTGGGGGGTTTTTGACCTCTCACGAGTCACAGCGTTCAACAAACAAGATGTTACTGAATGCTTAAATTGTTATGGTTCAACTAGTGACATATTCACAACTTGTAAGATGAATGTGTAGATTACAACACTTCTACACTAGGATTTATTTTTTATTACTATGCAATTGCTGAAAAATTCTCATTTGTGGTTGCCGCTATTTACTTCAATTAGAATGGAATATGGTTGAACTAGATTTGTTCATTATTTCCCTCTCGGTTCTCGCTCTCCTTGAGATATCAAAGTCTAGTCAATCTGAATGTATTTTAAAAGAGGAGTAGCATTAACCGTTTTGTTATTCCAAATATTGTATGATTAATGATTGATGCCGATGTTTGGCCTTGGGCGTGTTTTCCCCACATGGCCTCCTTTGATGTATTAGTTTTGAAGAAAAATAGAGCTTTGCGACCTCTTGTTATGCCCAGAACCAAGAATGTTTTTTTTCACAACACACAAGTATTTGAGATCAATTTTGTTTTAATGACCATAATGAATTTCACTTGGCTTTATCTTTTTATATTTGATGCTCTACATAATTTTAGGGGCCAGGAATAAGTTTTTATGCACTCTTTTATACATTGCCTTCGATGTCACCCTTCACATTATACTTCACTTTTAATGTTATCATATTAACTTGGTGTATTTTTATATCTCTTTGGTTGTGTTTTTAGATGTTTTTATCTTTTTACTTTTTTTTCTTTATCCATTTATATATTGTATCTGTAGTCACCCCTCAAACTTGTACTTGCAGCAAATCCACACACTTGTCATGTCACTCAATTACGCTAGGATAGAGCTCAAGACTGCACATTCCCTTGAATCATGGAATGGCGGTGTCCTAGTGATGGTTTCTGGCTCTGTCCATATAAATGGCTTCAACGGGAAAAGGAATTTTGTACAAACCTTTTTCCTTGCGCCACAGGAGAACGGTTACTTCATCCTCAATGATATCTTTCACTTTATTGAAGAAGAAAGGATAATCCCACATCATGTAGCCTATTTAAGTCAAGGCAGCATGGATCCCAAGATGATTCACACACCAACAGCATTTCAAAATGAAGGTACTGCCTTTCATTCATGCTAATATAGTAAACTACATCATTGTTTAAAATTAGGGTCAAAAGTTTAATGCTTGTTGCCTATTTATGACATAGTAGTATAAAACATGATGGAATCTCGCTTTCCTATATTTTAAGATTATTAATTTGCTTCTGCAGTGTCCAATTACATGTTGGGGGGAGAAATCCAGGCTAGGGAATTTCCGGTGCCTGCAAACATTGAAGGAAGTGGACAATCCAATGGATACCAATTTGCAGAGGAGCAGCCACAGAAGGTCTCTGAAGCTCCAAAGATCCCTGAAGACAGTTACGTGTTGCAGTCAAATGGTTCACTTCAGAGTACAATGAATCCTCCACGAGATTACTTATCCCCTGCAATCGAGGAACCGTTTGCAGAACCCGAAAAACACACTTATGCTTCTATCGTATGTAGTTCTCTCTCTTTTTTTTGTTATAAAATTCTAAAGAATGCAGGATCGTATGACACTATGGATCTGAATTTGTTTTTACATGGGTTTGTTAATCCTTAAATTTACAGGTTGCTAAAGCACCACCTGTGCAAGTCTCTAACAAGCCTGTACCTGTTTCATCTGAGTGGCAAGATGTATCAGAACCCTCTACCCGGCTGGGATCCATGCCATCGGAGAGGTCTGGGGAAGAAGTGGTTGAAGAATATGCAGCGGTGGAAGATGAAAGTTAGTTTGTTCTATTTTCTTTATTTATACTACTTGTTAATAGTTTGAAATAAAGAAGTGCATGTCGTCTAAATCTTATGTTTCTCAAGCAAGTTAAAATTCTATGTTGAGTTAAACAGACATTTACATTCAAACATGTATGGAGTAGCTAGAATGAAGATCTCCAATAGTTATACCATGCTAAAGTTGAAGTTCTACCCCTCTTTTTTCCTGAACAGTGGTAGTAACTAATTGTGCTCCATTTCCTTCAATTTTTACAGTGGAAGTGAAATCAGTGTATGTGAAAAATGTACCAACAATGATGGATCCCTCTGAAATAGAGGAAGAATTCAAGAAGTTTGGTAAACTAAAACCTGATGGTGTGGCTATTAGAACACGAAAGGTTTGCTCTTTGTATGCATATCATTTCACACCTTAACTTCACGGTTGTATTTTATTGCCACTATTAGTTCTTTAGAAGTTTTTAAACAGTGGGGACTGATTTAGCATATCTGAATAACATTGATGCAGGATTTTGATGCATGCTATGCATTTGTTGAATTTGAAGACATGATGAGTGTGCAAAACGCAATCAAGGTTTGACCTTGCATCACTCGATCGTTCCATTACATTTTTTTTTACAAAAAATATTAGAAAAAAGTGAATAAGAAGAAATGAAATTCATAGACTTCAAAAATATGCTGCAGGCATCATTCGTTGAAATTAATGGACACCAGTTATACATTGAAGGTAGAAGACCAAACCGAAACAGCTTATACCGAGGAAGTATGCATCTTTTTCCTTCCACACAAAGTTTATTTTCTTATTTGTGGGTGTTTTGTGGTATATTTTGTGGTTTTAACTATTCTCTCGCTCCAATTCTTTTTGGGTTTATTTCTTGTTTTCTCATCCCATGAGAACTTCTTACATTTGCACATATATATGCTATAACTATATCATATTTTTTATTTAATAAATAGGAGGACGTGGTAGAGGGAAGGGAAATTACCAGATGGATGGAAGGGTGGGATTGGGATTTGGTGTCCGTGGGGGGAATAGTCATGACGGGGGTGACTACCGATCTTCGTCCTCCAGAGGCAATGGATTCCACAGGCAAACTCCACGCCACGAAAGAGCTTTTTCTTATGGTTCCAGAAATGGACACAACAGATCAGATTAATTCATAGTTGATGCACGCTAGTATATTTTTTTTAGTACACGTTATATACTTCGTGTACGGGTGTTATTATATCTACTCCCATTTTTGCCAAAATCACTTCTTTTATATATTAAATAGAAGACAGTTTTGTCCTTAAAAATTTGTTTACATTCAAACTTCATCTTTTTTACTCTTAAGGGTAAAATTGTCTATTTATCATCGTAAAAGAGGTGGATTTGGCAAAAAAATGGAAATGGATATGACAACACCCTATATATACATATGCTGGAAGTGTTTCAAGTGTTCCAACATATTATTGCTTTTAGCTTTTCATATATAAACATATTCGTGGTAGGGAGTCCATGATTTTTTTTAACCCCAAGTTTCTACGTATCCCATTGTCCTGTTTAATTTCTACAGTTATAATTCTAAGGTAAAAGAAGATGAATGGGTGAAGTTATTTTGTACGAGTAATAGTCATCTTCAATGACTTGTGATTCTTGTGATACATAAAAAATTGAATGAATATAAATATATATCACTTTTAATTTTCTAAATTTATTTAACTTGTGATGGATCACAAGAATTAACAAAACTTGATAACTTATTTAGATCTTAAAATAAGTTCTTACAAACATACACTCTAAGGCATTATGTTCATTTTAAACTTTGCCTCTGGGTTATTAAAAAAAGATTTTTGACTTGCTGCTCCATTGTCTTGACCGAGTGTGCTTATGAACCCTCCATCGTCATCTTCATCCTTCCTCCGTTTCCCATAGAAAGCTTGCATATGCGGCCTTCACGTTGCTGAAAATAGCGTAAAAGACGCGAGTTTGATTCATTAACATTATTACTCTTTCTGTCCCACTAATATTTGTTGGGAATGTAAAGGTGATAATAATATTATTCCATACCTATCTTCTAGAGAAGCTTGAATTGCTCTCTCAAAATAGAATGATGCTTTTTCTCTGTCTTGATGGTGTTTCCATATGAATTTTGCATATTCTGAGATAATTTCTCCATCACTGGCGTCAGCTCGCAGCGTTGCACCTGAATGATATTCATCTTCTTCTCCGGACGCCTCTTCCTTCAGCTGCATATCAACATCAAGAAAAATGTAGGGAAATTTAGATTTTCATCGTCTTTTCTATCATGGAAAAGTAGAAAGATTTTAAACGCATGCAAGAAACCTCATCGTCTTCATCACCAATCTCCCATAGAAATCTAGCGTATGCTCCAATAACATGGCTGGAAAGGCAAAAAAAAAGTCATTCCCAGGTTTAGAAAAGCACTCGCAAAACCATACTAGAGACTTCCCAGGTTTCACTCTACCTTGGTATAGACATCCGCAATTCCACAAACACGGTTACTACTTACTATTCAATGTCTCTAAGACGGTTGGGGTGAAAATGAGGGTCAAAGTTGGGATGACTTAAACAGTTTTCTAACTAGAATATAATGTAGGAGATCAATTTGTGATAGTCGAATGCTATTCAAGATAAAGAGAACCTATTGTCATGATAAAAAGAGAGAATGATGCGAATAGTAATTAAGATTAATTACCTATCTTGAGGAGCAGCAAGAACAGCACGCTTGAAATAACAAAAGGCTCTATCTTTATCACCGTAGAGCTCCCAAACCAACTTAGCGTATTCCATTAGAGTTTCCCCATCTTTAGGATCATAGAGAGTAGCAAGAAAATAATGTTCCTCGGCTCCTGCGGTATCTCCCTTTGACTGCACCCCTCATCATGATGATCACATTATTTCACTTTCTTGTTAGGATATAAATTATCACACGGAGACTACAAAAAGACTAATAATCCCTATATATATATATGAATATAATCACTCTTCCCATAGTTAATTTGTTTTCTGATTTTGCAAATCTACATGGTATCAAATTCAAGGCTCAAGAGCTCAAAAAAGAAGCTCGGGTCTATTCGAGAAAGGCTTAGAAGCTCAAAAAAAAAAAGAAGCTTGGGATAATCCCAATAAGGCTTATGAGCTCAAAAAAGAAGCTCAGGTCTATTCGACCCAGCGACAACTTGAGGCAAGAAAGATCCAAATTGCACTTGAGAAGTGGCAATATTGATATCTCTAACTCGGATTGTTTTTATATAAAACTAATGGTTAGATTTTAACAGCACTAACACAAATGCAGCATTCATAATGAGGTCTTCTAAATCTTTATTGTTTGATGGCAGAACACAAATTTACTCTTCTTATAAGGGATGATAAGAGAAATTAATTGCAAATGTGACTCAATGGAAGAAGAAGAAGGAAGGAAGGAGATGACCTGCAAAAGTTGAGCGACTTTCCTGAGAAACAAAGGGTTGGAAGGATCGTCTTTGAGAATCCTCTTGTAGTAATTCCCAATCTCTTCTTCATCCCCATCCCCGGGCCCGTCAAATCTCAAATCCTTAGACTTATCTTCATCGTCCGCATCTTCTTCCCGTTCATTCTCTCCTTCGCCGCCGTCGTCTTCATCGATCGTCCGAAAACTGAACTCCCTGATGCCCGCGACCTCTTTTTCGATCAGATCTTCGTGATCTGTCTCTCCCGGCGGCAGCCCTTCGTCGGAACTGTAGATCTCGAAGGACGGTTCTGTGCGCAGCATTTCTCTGCGGGAAATCTTTCGATTGGGCTCTTCGGGAAATCGTTTCCCCCAAAAAGTGGGGGATTTTCTGGATTATAGAACTCAAAAGACGCAGAGTTCGAGGAAGAAGGACGGCGATGAGTTGCTGCGGAGTTCGTTAAGTCTGCGGTGACGATGGCAGCTTTTGGGTTGCAAACGCCGGCCGGCTACACGAACCGTTAACGGGTTATGTTTTTTTTAATAAGAAGAAAATTAATATCTATGGTCAAAATGTCAAATACAGAGTAGTTTTTCCCCATATAGTTCTAAACTTATTATGGTATAATATCAAAAATTAAGAATTACAATTGTAAATTTGTAATATCAAAATATAGAAAATTACTTGTCATAAGAAACCATTTTTGTAATTAACTCTAACACATAATCAATTAAAATATGCAAGTAAACAAAAATTATTGAATAGCAGACTTGTACGTTACAAGGTAACCAATTTTGTGATGGAGGGAATATATACAAAATTTTAAACCGAACATATATTCCCCTCCATAATATTCCGTATTCTTAATTCATACCCAATAAAACTTGAACTAAATTTGCAAAATAAGCTTATTAGTTAATCCAATAAGAACAACTCACTAGAATCCCACGAGAGTAGCATTTGAGAAGGTGTGTGTACGCGAATAACAAATATTGGGAACAATAGGTCTGTCGGCTAAGGCGGGGCATAGTTGACCCAGCAAGGAGTGTCAAAGAGAATAACATTTGAGTTTGATTTCTGATCAATAATAGTGTTATGAGACAACTATATTATTAAACATATATATCTGTAATTATCAAAAACTATATATACAAATTTTATCCTTTTTCATCCATTGAGTGATTAAAACTCTATTTACTTTCTTTTATGTGACCATTCCGCTAGTTTTGATGAAATGAGGGGGGGACTCGAGAATGGGTCTTTGAAAATATTTAAAAAAAAATATTACTCCAGACTTTATAAACAATGTATAAATTTTCATTGGCATTGCATCTTTGCATTATATTGTATTTATTTATTTATTTATTTATTGTTTCAATCATTTTATTTATTTAATTTATTTATCCTCCCCTCAAGTCTTCACCGGTGGTAGACACAATCATACACTACTATTTCAGCCATGAATTATGAGGAACGTGTAGTGTTGTCCCTTTTTTAATTTCCACAAAGGAAATAAAATAAAGAAATTAAATGAAAAGAGTTGTCAATGGAGTACATTTTTTCACTACTCTTTCCACACTATTAATAATTTTATATTTCATCTTTTTTTGACCGTCTCTAGCTAGATTTGCAGATCTTTACCCACACATTAAAATAATACTCCGTAATACATTTGTTGAATTTGTTGCTTAGTAATTAAACCTGTGGTATTAATTAGCTAGCTAAGAATATTCATCAAATAGCTAGAGCCTAGAAGAATTTAAAAATGATTAAATATAGGTTAATAATTGTTCGCACGGGTAGAATGTCTTTTTACCACAACCTTTTTTATTTTGCTTTATTTTCTATACTTTTGACTCTAGAAAAAAATAGTGACACACCTAAAAGCATACCCAAAAAATGATTCTTTGGCATTTTAGCGACTCGTGGTCCTCTAGGTATTAGCGCTAAAAAATCAAGAGGATGAGGGTTTATTTGTAAATGATTAACTGGTTAGATTCAAAATAGTCCATTTGTCTACTTGGAGAGAGTGTTAAAGAGTATCTCACATCGAAAAATCATGAAAAAAATGGGTATATAAGCTCTCGAGTAGAACTAGGTAATCAATTGAAATCAATCTTTTAATGTGGTTCGGCTCAATTGTCTTATTGTATTATCCAGTTATACCTCTCCCGAGTACTTTTTACTCGGCACATAACATTTACACTATGTTTGGTTCAAGAACTTTGAGAGGGAAAGGAAAAAAAATGAGAAGGAAAATATTTTTCTTATTTGGTTAGAAAGAAAAAGAAAATAAAAGTGGAAAATAAAAATTGTCTTATTGTCTTATCCAGTTATACCTCTCCCGAGTACTTTTTACTCGGCACATAACATTTACACTATGTTTGGTTCAAGAAATTTGAGAGGGAAAGGAAAAAAAATGAGAAGGAAAATATTTTTCTTAT